GGAAAGATTGTTAGCATTAAAAAAAGAAGTTCATTTATTTACCACTGTAAGTATATTTTTCAGACCAGCAATACAACCTCCTGTACAACTGCTGCCTATTACTTCTGAAACCAGCCTGAGCAGTCCCCATGTGTTTTTTCATCAAACAATAACTAAATTTTTGGAAATATTGTTTGAAGTTGAGATAATAAATAGCCAGTTAGTATTTTTCTTTGTCTAATTAATAATTTACTGAGTTTTAAACTAGAAGCTCTAACTTAACTGATTTGCTTCAAAAGCTGTTTCATATGTTTTAGGCTTACAGCTACAGCTGTTAAATCTTTTGCCTAGAATATGTAATTTTTATTAATCTAGATTAAGGCATGTAAATGTCAATGCTTAATTACCAGAATATCTGTGTTGTCTAGGAATCCGCTGGGAAAAGGGGATTTAGAAAAAAGGAGTATACACCTAATTTGCTGTCCACAAGGCGAGATGAATGCAATTCGTTGTGCATCATTGTCCAGGGTTCAGGTATGATAAGCAAGGACAAGACATGCTGTGTGCGGCTTATTCCTCCTGGAAATATTTGTATGGCAGTAATTTATCTACTCAGTAAAGACTTGAAGGGACAGGGAAAAGGTTAAAGACAAAGCTCAAGGCTGGCAAGCTTTGAGAAAGGAATAAATAGTGAAAAGGCCAGGCAAACAATAAAATGAGCCCAGAACCAGCTAGGTAAGCCATAAGGAAAACTTAGTTGCACATTTAATAAGCATAAAATCTAGGAAGTCCAAGAACGACAGGCTAGATACACAGGGAGAAAGTTATTTTGCAGCTGCTTAAAAATTTCTTGGGACTAAATGTTTTTACCAGCTTTTATTTGACAGCTTTCCTTTGACAGAAAGGATTCTGGAATTAGTTTCACGTTTGGGGAGCAGAGAACATTCACAGAGAAGAGTAGATCATTAGTCATTGCTATAATATCAAGTACTTTTAAGAAAAAAAACTAAGAAAGTTAAGAAAAAATTAAAAATTTAAGAAAAAAGAATTTAGGAATAATATTTACAGATGAAAAACTGAATATATAATTTAAAACATATAATCCACTAACAAAATGCATCTCTCTGAGTTGACTGTACAAACCGTGTGTTAATTAACAGTTTTCCCTTTCTATTTAAAGATTTCTCCTTCTGGTCTTCAAGGGGAAATTAAAGCTGCAAAATAAAGAAAGTTACGTATATCAGTGACAGAAGTGATAGGGAGAAGAAAATTCTGAGAGAAGAAGGCTCCATTCAAAGATTAATCCCTTGGGGCTTTACCGTCATCACAAATGTAACCACAATTTTATAATACAATTCCTGCGCAAAGGAAATGGCTAGAAGTTTGAGTAGCAGCCTCATCTTCTCACATCTTGCTCCTTGACTTACTGACAACCTGCACAATAGAATCCTCATTGGCATCTGGCACAGGAATAGGCACAACTGTGCTGGTACTGAAAGCAAAAGAGTTACTTTTTTTTATATATCTTCAAAAATTTAAAGTTGAAATTCAATAAAGGAAAAAAAGAGGTTTTCAAGAGATAGGCCAGTCTTGCAACCAAGTGCAAGAGAAATAAATGCTCCCTACACATCATGAAGGCAGCTCACTCAGAAGTACACTTTCGAAAAGATGAAGGAACCACAGAACTATTTTTTTGACCCAGACCTTTAATAAAGATTTATTAATAAAGATCACACTTTTGAAATAAAAGCATAAATTCAAAGCACAAAACATGGCATGTGACCTGATGAATAGCTTGAGATACTAAACTACTGCTAGTCTTAGCAAAGGCTTTCAGTTGACTCAAGTATTTTTTTAAAGTCACTAATAACAAACATTTATGGATCTGTGCATGTTGAGATATTGCAATGGCACTTATGTTAATGAAAATGCAAAAGGTTTGTCCTGAAGTCCAGTGACCTGAGTAGAACAAAACAGAAGCAGTGGGCTAAAAAAGCTGCAATCAATTCTGTGGTTCGCATAACGAAAACAAAAGCTTGTGAATGACAACTTTCTCTTGTCCTTTCTATCAGTTGCTCACACGAAAACTAATCATGTACTGTAGTGAATTTTGATTGTCCTGTCATTTTAAGAATGGCTAGAGTGAGAAGTCTGTGGAACAGACTATTTGTATCCACTTCTAGGCAACGCATTCATTTCTAGTTAAGGCATACACCTGCTAAGCTACTTTCAGAAATTACTACAAAGTCAACTGGCAACATACTTTCCCAGGCTACCATCCTATTTGATTCTGTTTAATAAAATGTCCTGAGACACTTAGGAGTTAGTATTTTCCTACATTTCATGCAACAGTTCAAAAATTAACCTACAACTCCTGAAGACAGTACAGAAGTTTGAAGAAGGCATCTCAAGTTGTAATTAAGAATGAAAGGCACTGAGAAGGAAGAGTCCTCAGTCAGGCAGTCCTTCCAATTTCTCCCTCAGGTAAAATCTAAAAAAGTGTAACAGTGAGCCAATGAAGTGCTTTTGTTTTACTCAATGTTCCGCAGCTGTGGGCTGATAATATCACAGTGAAAATTTTTAACATTTCCCATTCACTTCCAAAACTTCAGGTGCTACAAGTTGCAAGGAGTTTTAAAAATTTTACAATAATGCACTGAATTATTCAGTGCATAATAATGCACTGAAAGCTATAGTATGAATCGCACTAATAGACAGAAAGACTATTTTTTTCCCCTTCTTTATTCAGCTTAATGGAGCTTAGATGCTGTCCTGCCTAAGAAGAAGGTGCAGAGGCACTGGTAGCTGTTGAAAGTCAAGAGCTGGGCACAAAAATATATAGAAGACTGAATGATGTTACTCTTCCAACTGCTAAGTTTTCTAGAAATTCATTCAGGCATGAAACATGGCAGCAAATCACTGCATTCCTAAGGAGGAGCATTTCACTAGCTTCTGGTTAATGCAAAAATTTAAAAGTATTTCAGACTCTTAGAGGATAGGTGTCAGCTGCAGCCTAATGACACTTTAAAAAAAAAACATGGAAGAAGATGTATCACCAATTGCTGCAGATCTGTTGTCCACTCTTTCATGATGAACCCTACCTGTATTTTTCTTTCTTTGAAGGTTTTTCTTTTTACAATGAGAAGTTAAATAAATATACTAAAAAAATTCAGAGGTAGCAAAGAAGCAACACATAGATTAGCAGAATACATGTACAGTCTCCACATTAGACTTCCATTTTTCTACCATATTATCTATACTTGCAGCAAGGAAGCAAAGTTTCCACATGCAATACATATACTATTAATAAATATCTGTCACATTTTAGTAATATTATGAAAGGCTAATAGAACAGGTTAACTCCTTGGAAAACAGCAGTGAAAATAAAAGCTTCTGCAAATCTCCCATTGCAATGCCATCAGGAGTCAGGGTGGTCAGAAAAGAAAGGTACCAAAACTTCCTTTCCCATTCCATTTAAACTGATTGCCCACAATACGAACAAACATTTCCTGTGACATTAAGTTGTCATCAGCTTCCATGATTCCCAGTTCACTCAGTCTTTTCTTGTGCATCTGGCTCTTCTTTGCAGATATAGCCCCAAGTTCATCTGCAATTTCGCAATTGCCATCAGTTTGTTCACAAATCACACCATGCGCATAAAGCTCCAACTCATCAGTTACACATTCAGGTAGGTCTTCTTGCCTGAAGCCTTCAACACCGGCTGTCCCACCACTTGACTGGGCAGGCTGTGTATTCCCTAAGTCAGGAAACAAGAAAATGTCAACAACCACACAAAACAGTCAAATAATTTGAAGCTCCTGGAATTAAATTTTCTTCAGGCTTCACACTTTTTACCTCTTTTCACTCACTTTTTGGATACTTAGTGACAGCCACATATTCCAAATGCAGTCTAAGATGCTTAAGAAAAGTTTCTTCTTGAGATGACTTCAAGTTGCCAAGTGATGTTAGACAAAGTTACAGTGGGTTTACACATTGTACTCAATGACAGTTCTTCAATAAGACATAGTATGAGAAACACAGCTGTCATTCTATTTACCACAGAGAACAAATTCTGTGCTGGGAGCATGTCTCAACTATAATGCACTAAAGAAAATACAAGCAGAGAATTATCGTGAACCAGAAAAGCTGTAAGAGAAGCCACATCTCCTTTCTTGCTGGTTGCACTCCTGCTTCTGTATGACCCAAGGAGGCCTCAGTCCTATAGGCTCTGCTTAACAGGAGCACAGATCAGGCTGCTAAGGACTTCACAATCAAAGTGCACACACACCGTCAAGCACAGACATTCACAGTATTCAAGGGCAGCAAATTCAGGTTTTAGGAAATTCCAGTGTTCAGAGAGTTGTGGAGATTTATTTCAGCTAAGTCAATCTAGACATCATTAGAATATTTAAAAGATTTGATTATTAATTATGCAATCAAAAAATCTGCATATACTAGATTTACTAGTTTTAGAAGTTTCTTCTAGGAAGAGAAAAATACCTTTTGTTCTCTCTGCTGAAGCATCCTTTAGATCAGAGGTCACTGTTGGTCTAACCAGGACCACACCATATCCTTCATTATTATGGATCATATTATTAACCATGGTTATCTTGGGGATGTCATAATGTTCATCTAAGAAGTTCTGCAGCAAAGAAATGGAAATCCAACATGTTATGTCCAGCTAAAGGTTGCAAAATATTCTAGTTTTAGGTAGAATTAGGTCTAAGTATCAACTAGAATTTTATTATTTGTCTATGCAAGTGACATTGCAAAAGGCATTTTCTTTCCGGCAGATAAGAAATAAAACAAGTATCCTGCTTTGGTGGACGTACCCAAGGCAGGCAAGTACGATCATCATCATATGTGACATACAAGAGTTATACCATAAAGCAGCAAGTTTATAAGCCAACATAAATGCCAATTATTTGCATTTATTCTAGCAGCTATAAGCTTTTGAAAAACAAATACCATTTGCCTTGAACTGACCTTTATAAGTATTCCCTCCTTGCAGTGGTGTATGCCATTGCCTAACAGGGTGCACGTACTGCCAGGATATATTTCCACACCAGCACCCTACAAGATAAAATTGGTGGCAGCTCACAAATAGTTTGGGCACATTTCCAATTTAACTTGGCAACTCCTTTGTAGATCTTTGTGCTTAACAACCAGTTTGCACAATGCAAAATTTTATCGTTACGCCAGCTTCACAGCTTTATTAACTAACTTAAGCAGCTATACCCAAGGTTGAGGCCCCCTGTTATTGCCACCAGTCCATAAATCTCTGCTAAAGAGGAACTGCACAGCCTTGCAGTACTTGCTTGTTCTTTAGTCATTCACCTCAACACACATAGACCCATCGCTCTTCAAAATGTTCAAATCAGAGTTCAGTTCTGTGTTTACCACCTTTCTGTAGGAACCAATGGACAAGGTGAGCAAAAAAGGCGTTTCATTTACAGAACACATGCAAGGTTTAATGAGAAAATTATTTATGGGCAGAGAAAACAGAAAATCACTTTTAAAGTATTGTAAGACAATGAGTCCAGCAAAGCAGCAGCAGTTATTTCATGGATGTCCCTTGTTACTACTATATCATTTTCATATCATCACAGACAAATCAGCATAAGACACTTCACTGGACACTATTAGAGGCTACAAGACCCCTGGGACCAGTCTCTTAAACTTAGTAATACATATCTCTCCAGAATGAATTTGTAGAAGTTCTCTCAAGAGCAACAGAGGTCATCCCAGTACTGACTATTATTTCCAAGTGGAAACCTTTCTTTCAATTTAGAAAATAAGCTAGAGATAAGAATTTGTTAGTACCTTAGCACCATAAAGATCTGAATTTTTCATTACTAGCTCAGCTGATATTCGGACTGTTATGCCTGTAGTTTCACACTGTAACACACAATTCTCCAGGGTGGTTTTCCCATAATGGACATCTACATACAAAGAAAACAAATTTTGTTAAATGAACCAGTTACGCAAAGGTTAACCCCTCCTACAGATAGATGGATTGTAACATTTTTGCTGTGTGATAAAATTACTATTTACATTTTATCCCCTTCTGGTTAATTTTACTGATTTGCCCACGCAGGGTTTAAACTCATGCTATTTTTCTAGTGTGAGCAGGAACACTGCTGCAAGGGAGCACTAGTCAGAGATTAGACTTAGAAGGCTTTTGATTTATTTTTTTTTAAATAGTGACAGCAATTATTAATTTCATTACAGACCTAAGAGACTTCTGAATTAATAAGATATTAAAAACATTTATAGAGGTGCTAGTAAACATTTTACCATGTTGGAAACCAAATGTCTGTTGAAGCAAAGTATTAATTAGCACATTCTGCAAAGATAGAAGGCCACAGCAAATAAACTCAGTGGGTACAACTTAGAATTATTTGAGTCTCAGTTTGAATGTGCTGTCAGCACAGTTCTAGGACTTCTGCGGCCCATGACATTCCTCAGTGAAGAGCTGGCTGGGTTCAACTACAACTGAATATTGCCATGGGGGTTCTTTTGTGGAAAGAGGAATGATTTCTCTTTCCATGTACCCTGGCATAGGCTATGCAGCAGTCAGTAAGGCTGCCTTAACAGCAGAAAATTATTAAGTCAAATGATCTTATCCGAATAGAATAAAATGCAAGAGCCACAATAGCTTAAAAGTACAGAAAGTAGAAGTTATTTTGACAGCCACATTGTAAGTTTAGGGGGAAAAAAAAAAAGACACCTTGATATTTATGCCTGTAGGGCTAATCTCTACAACATTTTAGTAAAACTAGTAAGCTCTAACACTGGATCCCAGCTTTGATTCCAACAGTAAACTATCAAAGACTCACAAAAAGTTTAAGGTACTTTTGTACTTACTTAAAATTCCCTCCACAGCATCATGTTGCACTAACTTCAAACTGGAGATCCTGACATTGGCTCCTGTACAGTCAACAAAGTTGTCTCCTTCCCCTCGTTTTTCTATCACTATATCATCTGGCAGACCATAGCCTTAAAGCAGAGGTGAAAATGTAAGTTTGATTAATAACTGGTAATAGTCAGTTGCTCAGTACATAATGGACATTTAAATTAAATATAGAAGTTTAAAATTTGAGGTCTAATATCTTAAACAGGATTTTCCACCCAATGACCTTGCATCTTATCTATACCAAGGTACTGACACTGAAAGCCAAACTCAAAAGTTACTATACTTAAATGACAATAAAATGCAAAATTATTTTAGGCAATTGAACAAAAGGGTCACTGAGCTCCCACTTGCCAAGGCCAAAGCTATCACTCTCAAAAGATACAACCGGGCAGGGAGATGCAGTAACCAAGGACACATGGGCACCTGCATTCTGCTTTCAAAGTACAGAAGTTCACTAGAGCAGGCAGAGATTCCAAAAAGCACAAGGGGAAAAAGCAGTAACCACCACAATACAAGGAAGCAAGTGCAAAGGACTTTGTGTTATCAGTAACATTCACTCAACTTACCTATTTATATGAAACTTGGGTCTAAATATAATGTTCCTGTATTACCTGGGCTTCCAGATTAATTCAGATTAAAAAGAAACTTTCACAAGCATATGCCAGCATTGATTTACTAAAGCTATCCACAGTTGTCAGCATTCAACCACTTACAGGGAAATTTATGAGCATGTAAAGCTTTTATTGCTTGTCACTGACAAGAATCATGGTAAGGAAAGCAATAATGCAACGTCTATTAAAGCAGCACGAGTCCTACCATTTTCTGAAAGCACACACCAACTCAGATAAGAAGTCCCTGAGCAAAATGCTAGCTTTTAACCAACCACATAAATAAATACTGTAATGTACAAGTAGAAAGGTTAAAAAAAGAAAACCTTTGAACAAGAGTTGGCAGAAAGTTTGAAAGACAGCAGGTTTAATGCAAAGTTAAGTGATTGATACTTCAACACAATATACTATCCAGAAATCCTTTCCTACTGCTACTGATGTATGGTCACCTCTGGAGAGAAGGTGGCATGGAGCAGTTTACTTCCAGTACATAAAAAGAGAGCACCACAGGGCAGCAAGTGGCAGATCTAGCTTAACTTCACATCACTACAGAAGGAGGTTATTATCCAAGGCAAGAGTTTTAGGAATAATTGTCCTACAGACTACCTGCAGTTATTTCTTACCATGCTTTTAGCTTGTTGTGCACTTCACCTCCAAAGTAGCAGCTTTAGGAGTAAGAAGGAAGTTGGTGACAAGACAAGGAACAGAGAAGAGTTACCTACTATCAAATGGTGTTGACTACACAGCATAGCCATGGCCGCATGCCCTCCCTGTAAGCTAAGTGACTCCATAGGAGCTAAAGGCAATTGGCAGCTGGCAACTCATCACAGATATTAGATGTGCTGATGCTACAGGTTCCCATCCACCTTGATCAGCTACTATACAAGCAGAAGAGAAGTTCTTAGGTGCCTTTGCTACACATTTTTGTCAACTGTTAAAGTTATCCTTAACATGACTTCCTGCAGCTGCTACTGTTTTTACCTTATTTAGTCCTTTTAAGTTTTTCTTTATCCCTGACTTTCTAATTATCATACTTCCAAACTTAGTACTGACTTGCACGGTGGCTGGGAAAAAAACAAAAAAACTCCACTAAGAAAAGTGATATTACATTTTTGAGGAGTCACCCCTTCATCCCAAGGAAGCCACCAAAATGGCCAGCTGCTCAGATTAGTGCCAAGAAAATTTTTCTTGATGCTCCTACTTCAAACATTCTTAGCTGCTACTACTGCTATAGAAACTTCTTTAACGAGACTCCATATAAGAAGATTAAATACTCCAACACTTACTCATTATTAAGAAGGTGGTTCATATTAAAGACACTCATTTATATGCCTTGCTCCTTAAAACAGAGCAGCTCATCCTTTGCACAATTTGTATTACTGTTTCGTCAAAGCTAGAAAGTAAATGCCACTTGATACAATTTTAGAACAACATCATTCTTGCAGATAAATAAAGCACTTTACTGAGGGTCTTTAGCCTGCATTTGCATTGCCTATCAGCATGCATATCTATATAAATCAAACCTATACAAGAGAAATTAAGTGAGTATCTGAACTGCTGCACAAGCCCCAATTATATGACTATTACACTGCAACAGAGTGTGCATGCCTAAAGCAGAGGAACTACATTGAGAAACCAAGAATTGTAAGGAAGAGATAGAAACATATCCTAGACAAAGCAGAAGTATTTCAAACAAATGTTTTGCAAGAAAAATGGAGTCACATATGCTGTGTCTGTTTCTACAGAATAAATACATGTTAAGTCAACAGCTCCTTCCTCTGCCCATATGCTTCACATAAAACCGATTCACCTTGGCAGACCTCCCACACATTGCTGACATGCAGCAAGTGCCAATAAACGAAGTACTAAGAGCCTTTGGCTCCTTCCCTCTGTATTCACCAGTGCTACACTGGCAGTGAGTCTCAGAGCATACCTCTAAAGCAGATTAAGACATGCAAAAAACAATGACATCTCTCAAGTATTTTTAAGTTATTGCCTCTAAAAACTGAAGCCTCTCAGAATTACTTTTGTGCTTCCTAGATTAAAAAAAACAAACAAAAAACAAACAAAAACAAAGTCTCTCATGTTTCTGTTTAATGCTCCCTATTATGTTCATAAACAGGATTAATTAATACAAATAGGAGGAAAATATGAATTTGCTGTTAATTAGCAAAATTTGCAGTTTATTTGCAAAGTAACTGTGACTAATGCAACAATTTACTCCATTGTGCATGAGACATGGCTCTACAAGCAGAAATAGGAACACTGTGAAGGAAAAAAAAAATGTTCCAGCCAAACTCTGCAGAAAGTAAATCCTTATGCAGTTAGTTTAAGACATTCAGTTTACTTTGGTTTAAGGACCTTTATGCTAGAAAACCTACCTTCTAGTTCAACTGAATCAGCAATGCAGAAGACACCATCTACAACATAATGACCAGGACAGATGATGACTGTGTCTCCTTCATAACAAGCATTTACAGCTGCCAGTGGATCATTGTGAAACTGTAAAAGACAAACAATATAGTCAGCTCCTGAACAATGCTAAAAAAAATGATGCATTTATGCCCTTAAATCTTGACTTCCAATTAAATGTTTAAAATATTTATTTTGTTTAAAATAAACCCTTTTTAACAATGCCAGCAATACACAATTTCCACTTTGAATTCAGGAATCATATCACTCTCTGGACACATGAAGCCTTGAAACATTCCTTTGAGGCTTGTGTCATGTCCATTTCCCCAAAAGAAAAGGAGGCCAGAGACACAGATGGAAGAGCATATGCAAGAGTAAAGCAAACCTCAATACTGCCTTGGTTCCAGGCCAACATTTGAATTGTGCCTTAAGTGACATGCCTTGAAATACTGAAGAAAGAGATTACAGAAAGAAAAGAAAATAAACACGAACAACTCAGAAAATAGATCTGAGCTGGTCTGAATGCTGCCATAACTCTTCACTCCTGGTGCAAGTCATCTAAAAATAGAGTTTAGGTATTACAGAGGCAAATATGGGGTCCACTTGTTCCTTTATCTCCCCAGAGAGTGCAGGGTGATATTCTTCACAAATATTACTGGGGGATTCTGTATGGAAGGATAACAAATAGTACAGAAAAATCGCATATTTATTGCTTCACAGCAAATTCCAAGGTAAGCATAGTGAGAACATTTTTCAATTGCCAAGTCAGAAAATCTGATTTATAGGCCAAAAGATAATCTAGGATCTTCCTTGTGGCTCCATTTTGGCCATCTGTAATTAATAAACTTGATCAGAATGCAGGAAGCAATTTTATTTGGGCCCAAGGGATCCAGACTGTTCTTAACAGCTGAAATGACAAGTCCTGTGTGAATTCACTAGAACTAAACATAACTGCTCTAAATGTATCTCCTACACAGAGCTGAAGCAACAGAATTACATTTTTATTCTTCAAACTCTAGATCATTATCAGTAGCTTCAAAAGATACAGGTATATCAAAACTAAATATAAGTATTATAAATATAGGTTATATAAATATAAACCTTAATATGTTTCATTGTAGAATTATTACAGAAAGTCTACCTCATTATTTCCTATACACAGAAAGAAACTGTTGGTATTGACTACTCAGCAGACAAGTGAATTAAAATCAATTATTCGTATCATCCAGTCTTACCTTAATATTTAGATTACTGTGCTTTTTTTGAACTGACAAAAAATAACACTGTGCAAATGTAGTATCTTGCACAAGATAAATTAATGTATTCTTGCACATTGTTTCTTGAAGACAAAAAAGTATTAGCAGACAGGTAACTCCTGTTACTGTACCTGTATTTCTAGTTCTTCACCACAAGATTCAGGGCAAAGTTTGTCCCTTATCAGTGACTGCAGCAGACCTGACATCATGGTTGAGGACACAACATGAGTGATCTTGGTACCTGTTGGTCTCAGTCCTTTAGCTTGGAGACCACTGTATTTTTGGTAACCAAACACATACCTGAAAGAAGAGCAACAAAGCCATCACTTCTTTCCTGAGTAAAGAACATCCAAGTGTAGCTTCCCATATGACCCTCCTCCTTACACAAACCCACTGAGTACCTCAGCAGAGGGTTCTCAATTAGTTTCAGCTTTTGTTTTAAATGTTCCATTTTCTCATACAATTTTAGTCCTTCCACCATAGAGACATTTTCTATTTCTGAATCTGAACCACTGCTTGATATGCTGTTCCTCACATCTAAAAATGTCCTGTAAAGCTCTTCACATTGAGACAACAAGTTCTGGTAATCGGCTACAAGTCCAGAAGGCACACGGTGCTCAAGGATGTCATAATGCCTGCAATTCAGAGCAAAGGATCAGTACATTTTGTATTTACAGTTTTGAAATATAAAATAGAAAACTGGAAAGAATCTGAGGAGCTCTGCACCAGTACTTTAGTCAAGATTCTCCACAATATATATCAATACTTCTCAATTTCTTTTGAAAGCAGTAGAACCAAAAATCTGAACAAAAACATATTGCTTTCCAAATAATTGCACATTCACCTTGAAACCTTTTATTACACAACTAACAGAACCTCACTCTATGACAGAGGCATAAGCACAACTATAAAAAAATATTAAGAATTTAGAAGGTAATAATATATCAAAATTAATCTATTTTTAAGCATCTATTAGAAAAACTGATGTCTGAAATCAAAGACAAATGCTATAATGTTAAATCTTTATTAGCAACAATCTACTAATTACACTA